AAAGAAAACAAACAAACACAAATGATTGTAAGATGGAAAAACCTTATAAGAGAAGAGTGTGTTTCGGAAATTTATTGTAATACGCGCACATTGGTAATTTTGTCTTATTTTTATTATGAAATGCGGCGCGGATAATAAAAGACACTGGCGGCAGACTGGGCAGAAAGCGTTGGTCAATCAGCGGAGAGGAGAGCTGGGGACTTGGATTTTCACTGCGCGATGCCAGACGGTAGATGGGAGATGGGAGCTGCCAATGTCAGCGAGAGTTTGGCGTGGCGAAAAACCTATCATGGAAACCTGTTGTAATAGACAGCATCGTATTATTATTACTATTATGCATAGCATCGGCTTGGCAAATTGAATTTGATGCCTCCAGGGCCGGGAAACAATCAAAACTCAGGCCTCAACTTGAACTTCGGATGGTTATCATCGATCGGTTCATCAATGGGCCTGAGCCTGAGCCTGAGCCTGACCTCTGCCCAATCAACTAAAAATAAACCAAAAACCTATTGTCTTCGGACTGGTTCACAGATCATAGGAGACACATATAGTTCCGCGAAACCAAAGCCCAATTAAATGCACATAAATATGCAAATAACAGTCTGCAAAATGGACCCTAATCGTATTGTAAACAGCAATGAATTTTGAAAAGATATCCCCTCGCTTATGACGATACGAGTATCATATCTCGTTATTGGTCAATATCCAGAGGCCCAATCAATGCCAATCAAAAGCTCACTTCCATGTCAAAACAGCCTCCATGCGGATCGCATCTACCGATCACCAAAGATTAGGTTAATATCTTGACAAAACAATGCCGCAGATCTCGGGCCAGGGCGCGTCAGCCTCGACAGTCGGACACTCGGAGTGGAGAGTCGAGCGGCGAGTGTGAAATTATGCAAATGCTGGGGACTTGCTGTCCGCTCTAGGAAGGTGGGTCCCATCGCGATGATACTGCTAGCGGCTGTGGCCGCTGTGGCTGCTGCGGCTTCGACTGTCGATCTTCAGAGGCCCACACATGCAATTACAGAGGTTTTTTATGGGCCCGTGGACAACAAAGCTTGGTAGCCACAAAGGCAGTTAAAAGCCCATAAAATACTGTAACAAATTTATTGGGAAAGAGCGGACGAAAACGGCTATCATTGGGTGGGGTAAAGTGGTAATGAAATGATCGATATGAGCCTGCTCTTTTGGGTATGCAAGCTGTCATCTCTGGCATCTAGGTTGTATTACTTACAGTAAGACCCAGTACATTATATTCCCCTTGCTTTGTGCAACAAAATGTGTCTTCATCTGAGCATACCCGACACGTTCGTCCACCATTCGTTCATCCATCGTTTGTTTGGGCGTGAACAAACCTGAACCTGAACCAACAAACCATAAAGCATCGTTCAGTGCTTTTTATTAAAAAATATATATATAACTATAATCTTTGATTACAATTTATGGTGTTGAATTTTATGACACTGCCCCCAGTCGAGGCGAGGGGATTACAACATAATTTGACCAGCATTAATATTTATGCTGGCCCACATAGAGCATACACTCGTAAACGGCAATTGGCACCGACTCGCCAATTGGCAGATGGCACGGCGAATGGAATGGATTGCGTTATGCGGTGAAGCTGTGTTACATCCCATCCAGAGCCAGAAAGACAACTTTCGGGCGGGTTTCGGGTCTTATCACATCCCGCAGCTGCTTAATAATGCGTGTCTGGTGGATGCCACAGCCGCACAGCCACACAGCCGCAGGCAACCACAGGCCTTGGGCAATCCTCCTGCAGGCCTACAGCAGTCGAATGTAAAATCTAAAATGCAAAATGCAAAATGCAAAGTGCAAAATGCATCTGCAGAATGAGAAATGTGAAATGTCTGAGGCGGAGCGTGAAGTGTAGTTTATCACACAATCACACAGAGACCCATATACTCGTACCCGTACGAGTACTCGTGCAGCACCCCCGCGCACTCAGCTGACAGCTCGCATTACTGGCGTACGAATATAATGATGTACCATCTTTTTATTGTTCGACTGGAACTGGGTTACCCAGTCAGTCCCCGGTCTTTCTTGATCGTCGAAAGTGAGGCTTTCGGCTGGTCAGTGGCTTATGCAATTGCCGCTTCTCCTCTCCAGTTTCGGGCTTCGGGTGAGATTGGCTTAAGCTTAGAAAACACTTTCAACCCACACACCACACCACACCACACCACACCACAGCACACACCGCAAATACAATAGCAAAAATAAATAATATAGACACCTTCGGGCCATCATCTATTGAGTTATTGCTAATTTATTGACGTTGCCCGATTGTTAAATCACTTTTTACACTTTTTTCTGTACACTTTGCCGCGTGGTTTTTTGCGGCCTGCGGCTTTTGCGGAACTCAGCGGCCACTAAAATAATTATTAATAATTAAAGGAGCTTTATAGAGGTGCCTTCTGGCATTTTACTTGCTTGTTAAATGTGTATTTACCATGCGAATACTTTCAGCCATTCCTCGGCCAATTAAAACGGAAATTTGCGGCGAGCGACTGGAATTGGGTTGATTATTATGACGCGATGATCTGTGAACTTTTCTGCGCAAGTTTTGTAGTTTTGCGGTGAATTAATCGGCACACATCCGAAGCCTTGTTCACCAATTGGGGGGAATATGTATATATTTTCTGTTGTATAATTTCAACATATACAAATCTGATTGTTAGCCAGATGGATAAATCTATCGCAGAATAAAAGACTATAACACCCAAGAGACTGACAAGAAACTAGCATTAATTCCACACTAATTCATGCTAAGCTTAAGCTATACTAAAAACTTGTAAATATATTTCCACTCAAATCCAATCAAAGGAACGTTTAAGTATTCGAGCAAATATTCACCATTAAGCACTTCCGCAAAAGTGGCATGAAACATTCGTGTTTTCAAGTGGCAAACATGGGAGGGAAATAGCATGAAAGAAGTGGAAATGGAAATGCCTGCATGCAATTGTGTGTTGTGCGGAGGCGATGGAGGAGATTTCCAACTGCCTTCGCCTTCGCCTTCGCCGCCTGACCATTACAATTTATGATGATTACAATTTTTTTTTTGTTTTTTTTTTCCTACGAGTACTATCCAGAGGTGTGTGCTGCTCTCTTCTCTCTCTTGATTAGCTTAACGCCAATATCCCCAGAGACTTGACTGACAGTCTGTCTATGTGTCGGGCCTGACTGACTGTCCGCCTGAGACGAGACTGTCTTAATGCAAGTGATGATGATTTCCATAGTGAAATTGACGCAAATGAGCCACAAAGCAGACAGCGGTATTGATTTTGTGGGCTTTTTATTTTGGCCAAGCCAAAAAAAGAGCCAGACGGTAAGGCAATAACTAGAGAAGACAGACAAGCCTGACAGACTGCCAGCGAAAATTATTTCCCATCAAGAGCCCATGACTGGTTTTGGGTTCCCCATTGACTGGCGCAGTCAAGCTGCAGCTATAATGATGTGCCCTTTGGCAGAACTTGAACTCTGGCCTTGGCATGGGCGGAAGACATTTGCGGCTCCTGCTCCTCCATCTCCATCTCCATCTTCAACACGAGCTCTTCCCATTTAGATGGGGAAAAATTATGGTATTTTTCTTCGTCGCACTTGCCGGAGAAAATGAGTCAAGTCATGTTCAATATTATATTGATGGACTTCAAAGGAGAGACGCCTGCGGTTATTGGAAAGTTTCGGGGCGATCTGGAGTCAAAGGGTGTCTGTGTTGAAGAGTGTTGAAAGATTTAATCACTGCAGAAGATTGATGATCCATGATGTACAATGATTTTCATAATTTTTTAAGAGTCGAACAGCAGTGAAATTTCTCCTAGCAATTGTTTATGCAACAATGCAAATGTAAATCGATCGAATCCTTGCATTTTTCCTTGCTTTTCATTTCAACTGCTGCTGCTGCGCTGATTAAATAATTTCCAAGCAGCCAACCACCAAGCCACGAAGGTAAAAACTTAGCCAGCCAATGCGAAGAAAGGCAGAGTGCCAAGTGGCAACAACGTGACTGCCAGATCTCTGCCTAATCCCGATCCCGATCCCGATACCGGGCTGGGGCACCCACAAGCGAGCCCCGAAACGAGACCGAAACCAAATCAAAATCAGCACCACAGTCACCAACGACAGGTGGTCGGATAGGTTTGCTTTCGCTATGGGACGGCACGGTTACGGGTTCGGGTACGGGACCCACAGTAGAGTGCCTGTTGATGCAACAATTAGCCTAAACTTTCGGCCAGGTCCAAACAAGCGTTGCAAGCCAATTTGCAAAATGTTTTGCTGTTTGGGTGAGCCACAGCCACAGCCATAGCCACAGAAATCAATCGTCAAGCTGTTGAAAATGGGAAATTGTGCAAAAGCCGCAGACGCAGACGCAGACCCAGGCCAGACCGGACCAGACCCAAGACCCCAACGCAGTCAGTCAGTCAGTCGCCCCCCAAACCTGGGATCCTACACAGGTACGATCCTCCTGGCCCCCCGGCAATGAGTGGGCACTCTTTCGGGCCAGCAAGAGCCAACCCCAGCCATGAATGTAATGCGTTATGATTTGCCGTCTGTGCAAATGCCGGAAAGATTACCAGCTCGCGATTCGCGGTGGGCTTCATTTTGAAAAGCTAAGGGGTCAGATGGTGCTACATGCATTTTCGAGCATGTTGCACAAGTGTACTCGGACGATGAGAAGAAAATTCACTCGAGTTTGACATGAGTTTGGTGTTGGAAAGTCTCTGAAGCCAGAATACTGAAAGAAAGAATCCCAAGCAAAACCTCAAGCTATTTACAGATTACAAATCTTAGGCCGTGTGATGTCACAGACCATTTGCCCAAGTACTTCAGCCCAAGGTGGCTCCAGCGAACCGACCATCAATTGCCATTAAATCAAATGAGGCCTGAAACTTCGACTGAAACCTCCAGCGATTAAGGCAGCGGAACGCTCAAACTTATTAAGTTATTAAATTTAAGACAGGCCATTAAATCATCCGAGTCCAATGCTAATGGTTCCCCATTTTTTGGTTCTCCCACTTTTAGAGACATTTCAACAGCAGCCTGCCTTGGGCGCTTCTTGTGCTCCTCTTGCTGGCCGCTCTCACGCTCCAGTTGGCCAGCGCCGGCGTGGAGCAGGAGCAGGGGGAGGGCGAGAGCGAGAGCGCCAGCACCGAGAGCAACGAGATCATTCCGCGCGAGGCCATCCAGAAGTTGGACTACTCTGTGCGCCAGGCGCTGCTGCGGGCCATCGACAAGCTGGAGCAGGAGGAGGCGGCCGCCTCCGCAACTGGCGTGACGGAGAGCGGGGAAGAGCGCCCCAGAAGTAGCGGATCCAGAACGACTCTGGCCCGGAACGAGGCCACCACACTGCCATCGCCACGGGAAAAGGACGAGATCCTCGAGGAGAGCACCAACAAGGCCGAGTCGGAGCCGGAGGCGGTGGTGCCCACCGTGCAGTTCTACACGGCCACCTTCGACGAGAGGAATGCCCAGGAGCAGCTGCTCTCCTCCTTCATAGATCGCTCGAAGCTGTGGAAGAAGACTACGGCGGTGAGGAAGCCGAGCACCCATTCCCAGGCCCTTTCCATCGAGCCAAAGTCCGTGGAGGCGGGTCCGGAGAATCGCCAGCTCACACGCAGCGTGGACTCCGGCTCTAGCTCCGGGTCCGTGAGCAGCAACGAGATCTCCCACGACGGCAGCCATGAGATCAAGTTCGAGATCAGAAATGTCCGCAAGGAGGCAACCACAGCGGCAACCACCACCTCAACGACGAGTACAACATCCACGACAGCTCGTCCACGCACCACACGGCGTCGTCCTACAACGACCACCACAACGACAACGACCACAACCACACCCAGGCCCACACATAACGAGGATGGGGAGAACATTGAGCAGGTCGACAAGCAGGACATTCGCATCCAGGAAGCACCACTCGTGACGGCCTTCACGGTGGATCTCGATGAGCGGGGAACAGCGCAGAAGTTCCGCCCCCTGCTGTCCGGACAACGTGCCAACTATCCGCAGCAGCAGCAGTATCCCCACATTGGACCCACCATCACCAAGCTGAACGTGCTGGAGACGGAGCCGCCGGCCACCCCGCTGCCCACACAGTACCCGCCCACCGGGAGCAGCAGCACCCCCATCTCGCAGGTCAGCACGAGTGCGAGCCCCAGCAATGGGTTCTCCACTACGCCCGCATTCCTGGCCAGCTCCACCTCCAACTATGCCAAGGTAGGACCCCCAGAAGCGCCCGACTGAAGTCTAATCCTTGAAACTCTTTGCAGCAGGAGCCACTCACCGATCTGGCGGCCCCGCCCAGTGTGAACAACTATCTGATCGAGCGCCATCGGGCTCTGGAGCAACAGATCTACCAACTGAAGGTTCAGGCGCAACAGCAGCAGGCTTTAATCTTGCGCCAGCTGAAGCTGCTGGAGGAGCAGAGCCAGAGCCGCTTCCAGGGCGCCCCACTTGCGCAATCCAGCACTTTGCAACCACAACATCAACAGCAACTGCCCCAAGTCCAGCAGCAGCAACAGCAGCAACAGCAGCAACAGCAGCAACAACAGCAACAACAGCAGCAGCAACAGCATCAGCATGGTCCGTTGGAGGCCATTCAGACGCTGCAACCGCCTGCGGTGGGTTACTCCATAAGACCTTCGGTGGAATTTATACCCAGCACACATACCAAGACTGTTATTTATCCCACATATCCAATTGAGCAGCAATTGCCGCTCCGCGATGCCGTTTCGGGTCATAAATTTGCCCTGAACAACGGCAACAGCCAAAATAATTACCAGAAGCTGCCAGGCCCCGCCCCCGCGAATGCAGTGCAGCAGATTTTCCAAAACTTGCAGCAATCATTGCAGAAATCGAATGAAAATTCCATCAATAACAATGCGCAGGTCCAGCCCTCGAATCAGTTCAACTTTGCCCCCGCGGAGGCGTCGCACCAGCAGGCCCTGCCCCAGCACAGCTTCAAGCAATTCCAACAGCCCCAGCAACAACAACAGCAACAGTTGCTGCTGCCCAGCTATGTGAGCAGTGCCCTCTTTCAGCAGCAGCAACAGCAGCCACATCAACAGCATAGGGGCCGGCAGTTTCGCCAGGAGTCGGGAGTGGGCAACTTTGGCCTGAATTCCAATGTGGAGATCCAGCCGAGCAACTCCTTTGCCACCACCATCGTCAGCCAGCAGCAGCAGCAGCAGCAGCAGCAGCCCAACTCGAATCCCAGTCTGGAGAATCAGAACTTCTATCGGCAGCATCTGACGCCACAGCTGAGCAATCAACTCCAACAGAATGCCCAGCAGTATCTGCAACAGCAGCTCATCCAGCAGCAGCAACAGCAACAGCAGCCACAGGCCGCCGATGCCTCATCCAACATTAGTCCAGGTAATGCACACTTCAAGAGTAGAGAAACGAGCAATGATTTTAGTCAATTTAGCAGCTTAAGAAATCTTGATGAATTGAAAGTAATCAGTAAAGTTTTAGCTCTCAACCATGGGATACCACAGTTCGCCTCACAAAATCTGCACTTCAATGGCGCCTTTTGAGCACTTGCACCACCAATCCAGCACCACCACCCGATGCACCCCACAGGCACAAAACAAAAATGTACCTCCAGCAATATGCACATCCGTTTCCGGTCCCGGCCCCGTTCCCGTACCTGTTTCCTTCCCACAGAGCCAGATGTCCACCGCCCTTCCCATCCGGTTGAATTAAGTTTTACGTACAACATCTTTGTAAATATTCATTCTATTTTAAAAGTTAAGATTAAGAACTAAGAGAAATTAAAGCCCCGTGCAGGAAGGGTAAGGAGACAACACGAGTTGAAGAAAAGGAGGAGCCATCAATTGACGATTTTGTGGTGAGACAATTGGCAGACCAAGATGTTGAAATGTAACAATTATTTATTTTTTATGTGAATAAAGTTTATCTTAAAGTACGGCAGTGGTTTCAATCGACTATACACAGAAGATAATTCAAAGCAAAGGGCTATAAGCTCATTCAGTTGACTTTATTTGCATATTTATGAGTAGAATTGATTGGGGAACAGAAGTGGCAGTAAAAATACAAAGGTGCGATGCTTTTGGTCTGTTGACGGCTCCGGGACAACAATTGGACGAACACTGCCTGTCTGAGAAGCTGTGGAATGAAAATTATGAGTAATCCATAGCTTAAGGATACGTTTTACTCTTTGAACTAACCCTCAATGAGGTCGTCGCTTAGAACCCCAGGCTTTGCACACACAATTGCACAGAGGGCCACACAAACCAGAAGCACACGAAGAAACATGATGATAGTAACTGCAGAAGAATTGCTGAACTGCTGTCAACTCGGTTATGCTGGGCTTATATATCTCTAACAACTAATGGTCTAATGACATGCAAATGGCCAAAAGTGGAGTCGACTCCAATAGCTCATCAATTAGCTAGAGCTTATCGTGGAGTGTTCCGAAAGCCTTGATCTACATAAGTGTCAATCATCTGTAGGCCTTTTGACACGTTTTCGATAGGACTGTTCCACATGGAAGAATTTTCGTTTATGTTTAATGTTTCTATTGTATTTATATTATTGCTTAAACTGTTATTTCATTTTGGCGCTCATCCAACAACCCGATTATCAATTAGCAGCAGTTGCGGGGCAATCGAACTTCTCCCATCTCCAAGTGCTTTCGCTGATATCGTTATCGAAGCTCGTTAAGCTCATGAAAAAACTGCAAAATTAGCAAATTCAAAAATAATCTACAGTGCGCGTAATCCAATTGCGCCAGCGAAGCGAAGACATGCAAGCTTTCAAGTGGATAACAACGTATGTTATATTTATAGCATTCGCCAGCACGAATCGCTGAGTCGGCGTTTTGACAGTAACGCAGTCGCCAAAAAGCTTAGATAGATTACGTTGTCGTGGAAGCGCATCGCGCTCAATTTGTTTATAAACAACTGCTTAGTTAATTGCAATTGGAAACCCCGACCGCCATGTGGTCGCGCAGCAGCAGTGCAAGGCGGCAAGTCACCGCCATAGACAGTGATCCCGAGAAGGTATTGAGGCAGGTGCAGGAGCTGAACGACTGGCTAGACGCCAATCCGCAGATCAACGGATGCAAAACTTTCGAGAATTTGCATTTTTTTCTGCGCACCTCCAAATTTGATGTGGAACGCACCAAGAAGAAGCTAAAGACATTCTATCAGATGCGTGCTGAGCGAACCGAATGGTTCGATAATCGCGATCCCAACTTACCCGAAATCCAGGAGCTGCTGGAACTGGGCGTTTTTCTTCCCGTTGGCCCGGACTCAGACAATGGTTGTATGGTTGTGGTCATTCGGACGGCGGCCCATGATCCGAAGAAACACACACAGAACAACGTCTTCAAAGTGAGTCATAGAGAACGTGCCAAAATGGGGCTATAGACTTTCTACCTTTGCTTTATTTTTTATGTAGACCAGTAAAATGATATTGGACTTGCTGTTGAAGCTCGATCCGGAGAGCTGTGCTAAGGGCATGGTTGCCATACTAGATATGCAGGGAGTTCAATTGGGTCATGCCCTGCAGCTGAATCCAAAGCTCATTAAACGATCGGTGGAGAGCTGGACTGCCTATCCCTGCCAGCCCAAGCTATTGGAGTTTACTAACGCTCCGCGTCATGTCAACATCTTTCTGAACACTTTCCGGTGCTTTTTTCTGTTGGCATACATATGCATTCGATAGTTAATTTGAGTGATCTTTCAGGATCTTCATGACACCCAAGATACGGTCCCGAGTGATGGTCCGCCGCGAGGGAACCTCTGTGAACAGTGCGCACTTGCCAAAAGAATTGGGTGGTCAGGGCCCGAGCTACGCCGAACTCGCCATCAAATGGAAACGGTTGCTGGAGGAGAATTCCGATTTCTATGTGGAACAAGACAAATATAAAAGCAAGCTCAAGTAATATAGGTTAGCGGGCGGCGGCGACAAAGATAAGGCGGCGATTAGCCAAGTGCTATAGATTAGGGCGACTCATTGTCGATGCGTAAATGCTCATTGGCGCATACCTTTGTCGCCTGCAGTCGTATATTGCTTAATTCCATACAAAGATCTAATAAGTTGTATATACTCTTGTATACTTTTCATTTTCATCACGGTTATCTGAATATAAGCTAATCAATTGTTTTTGTTAATGGGAGTCAATGTACGATACAAAATTGATCCAGAGCATGGTCTGTATTCATAATATTCTCTTTATTAGTATAAAACGTATCAAAAATGTTTATCAAGTCTACAATTATTATCATTTATTGGGTGCTGTCGAGCGTCGCCTCACATTGCTGGGGTTTTGCCTTACAAACAGTCGTTCCATCAGTTGCACGACGCCGAGCTATACATATGCGATAGTTTAATAGTAATAAATACATACATACATTTGGGGGAAAAACGATAAACGCATTGTTTTGTGAACATAATATTGTTTGTTTTCCATAAGCGGGGGTGTGTGTGTGTGTGTGCGCGGGTTATAGAAGGCGTGCTGCTGTTTTCTGGGTTTCTCTTTTACATACACATATATATAAATATGCTATATATCTCTTAAAGTTACGAGTCACATATAAAAATATAGTAGTTGCTCATCATGATCATCATCAGCATTATTAGCCCGCTATAGTTAGTGTGTTGTATGTTTTGTTTTTAGTGGGACCACACGAAGCACTGAACGAAACTTAAGAGCTATGTATAAACGAGGAAAGGAAAGGAAGGGCGGTAACTAACTAAAGCGTAATACACAAGTCTACCAGAGCGCTCCCATCACAAGTCCAATTGCATGCCGTTGCTGATGCCAATGCCGACACTGCCGCCACCAGTGTCCGCCACTTGCAGTGATTCCTATATCTGCCGCTCGTCCTTTGCCGTCAGCTTGTCGATGAGCTCCTGCAGCGGGGCCAGCTCGCGCCGCTCGATCAGATTGAACTCTTGCACAAAGAATATGAAATGCTTGAAGGACGTATTCAGATGGGCCTCCTCGCCCAGCGTCACCACCTCCGAGAAGTGTTGATGGTAAATGTGGGCATAGACCCTGAACAAACGCTTCAGTATGGTCTTGGCGGAGGTGAGAAAGTTCTTTGGAAACGGCACACCAATTTTTGATGGAAACAGCGTCTCATCGTCCAGCTGATCCTGCACCCAAGTCATCAAATAATCAATGTACTTGGGGGCGCTGCACTTGATGGGCTTCTTCACGGTCAAACCGTCAGCCCAGTGGTATTCATATTTCGGACCAGCCGACATAATGCCACAGCTCTCCTCCGTACAGAACTCTGTGATCGTGCCGTACAGCATGTTTATCTGATTGAAGAAGTCCACAGCTAATGATGGAAGGGAGAAAAAACAGATGTACATATACAAAAACACATGATTAATGGAAAACTAATTACTCACTGTTAACGGCCACCCATTCGTTGAGATCCTCGCCGTCGGGCAGAGCCACTGCATTGCGTAGATTTCCAGATCCCAGAGTGGCGGCGGCATGCTTCATAAGATCATATTGATGCGTGCCTTCCGGTATGTTCTTCTTTGGCTTGAAGGTTTTGCTCGAACGCGAACCGCTGCAATATAAAAGCCGATTAGTATTGGCCCCATCAACCCCAAGTGGCTGCCCTGCCAAATGGGTGGAGGTGGGGAGACAAAGGCTCGGCTCCCACATCACAGAGACGGCGAACAAAGCACTCAATGGGGTGGTACCCGAAGCTTTCTTTGTTGCAACCCGGGCCTTTTGTGGTTTCGGATGTACTCGAGAACCTTTTTTCATGAACTTACAACAAAAAGTCCATTGCCATGCAGTTTCTGTAACCTCTGGGGTCTGTTTCGACTTTCACTCGAGCCCACCAAATTCTTCTGCTGCGAAGCCTGTTCCGGCAAAGGCCGCACCGTTCTCAAGGAATTTCTGTGACGTGTCAGTAACTTTTCTTTTGAATATTCACACAATTGATTCGAAATAATAATCTACAGAAATTGCTGGCAATTGTGGCAGGTTTTGTGGGCAGGCGATGGAAAATATGTTTCTGTTCGGATACTGGGGTCTCTGATGTCGACAATGGGGGCGAGCACAGCTGATGGCTTGGATTCTAGGAAGTGTATATTGCAACTTATTAGTTTTGTTGTGTTTATAAACGCAAAAATTGTTATAAATAAAAATAAAATTGGTTTCACACACACTGCAGTGCTCTTGTATTCAGTGTGACCGCTCATCGATAAAATATACGGTCCGACCCGCAGAAATATACCATCTTATATACCAAAAATACCGTAAATATACTGACAAATTTAGGTTATATTATACATATTCCTCGATTTTGATAATCCGTTGAATATTACTATGTATCTAGGTCTCTCAGAACTGCCCACATAATTTTATATAATTAATTAATATATTTTCTACTTGACTGGCTTATTTTAAATAATTGAGTTTGATTTTTTTGCATCAATTTTGGTTCCTCAACAATAATATAGCGTTTCGTATGATGAAAAATCCAACTTAGCCCACTTAAAACGCCTTTGCTTACACTGGATAACAACTTTAGTTAAACCGCCGAAAATAATAACAATTATAATAACAATAATAATTACTCTTGTAGGTCCACCCTATTCTTATCTTTCCCCTAAACAGCACTTGCTTTGGTTATTTTAAAAGTTGCGCGCCAAGTGAGGTCTGTCGGAGAAAGCATTTTTTTAATAAATACTTTGATAGTTATTTTGAATCTGAAAGAGCATTTAAGGCATTAAGCTTTTAATTATAACAAACACTTTAACCAAAGTTTACATATGTACATCTAAAACCTTCTCGCCTGACCTACTGCCTGAGAAGTGCTGGGTGTTGGTGCTGTAGGTTTTGAGGGATCCTCCAGGACACGTACCATCATGGAAGATTTGGGGCCAGTGCACCAAATAGTGCCGTGCTCATCGACAACGAACGTTTCCAGCGTCACCTGGAAGTGACCACCGCTCGATATGGGCAGCAGAAAGCTGCCGGAGAGAAAGTCGCGTTGCGGCTTGACGATCTGGTTCAGGGTGACGGTGTCACTGGTGCCGGTCTTCTGCAGCTCGCTACCGGAACGTGGTGGCGGCGTTACCAGCTGGGACGTAAGGCTCAACTGCACGGACTCCACACGCCGGAAGTGCTTGACCTCTTTGGAGCCAGCCTGTTGCAGGACCCCTTCGACCTTAATCACCAGATTACTGCCCGACTGAACATTGACGGGTTCGGTGGCACTACGTGGCTGTGGGCTAACCGACAGCTTTATCTGCGTAGACTGGAGAATCTGGAAGAAATAGCGCGGCAGGCAGAGCGGTGTTTTGGTAATTATCTCGATTTGAGCAACAATTACGTCCAGATGGCGGTTGCTGATGGTCTTGGCGTTGGGCAACTCCTCGGGGAGGTTCTTATGCATCAGCTCCATGCGCCTGCAGCTGGCGGCAAAGAATCGGGTCTCCGGGTGCTCGCCGGTGGTCAGGAAGACTGGTGGCTCTGGTGGCGTGGCGTAACAAATTGACTCGATGATGTGGGCAAGCAGCCCACACTGAAACTCGGCCACCTCCAAGAACTCCAGCGTCACGTTGTCCGCATCAAAAGACGACTTATAGAGACGGGCATGCGTCTCCTCGCAGGCCTTCAAGGACTTGACCAACTTTCTCAGCTGATTTGTGACGTGTCCAAACTTTTGCAAATAGTCCCTCGAGTTCTGGGCCAAGCTGCCAGCGATTGCCGGCGGTGGTACAATGACCTGGGCATTCTTTACGGTCACGGCCAAGTGCAGGGTCTGCAGGAACTGGGCTCGAATCTTGAGGTACTCCTGCGGAAAGGAGATCGCATACTGGATCGAGGAGCAGGCTCGCAGACTGACTCGCGCCATCTGGTAGAGGTTGCAGGCTGCCTCCAGCCGTTTCATCAGCGGTATCAACGGCTCTGGCGCCGCCGTCGGAGCATAGTTGTCCCTCATGTGGGCGTAATCCAGGCCATAATTTAGAATACACTCTGCCTGCGAGATCTGCGAGAGCGTGACGAGGAAGTAGTGCATTTGGTCGTTTATCACGATCTCTGAAATGCTCGTGTAAATGTGCGCGGCCACATAGTGATGCCCATAACGACTCGCGCTTCGTGCAATCTTGTACAATGTCCAGCAATTGAGCTTATCCAGGCACTTCTCGAAGCATTGCACCACCTTCAGGGGCAGATAGCACCCCATTGTTGTCTGAAATACCAGGACACTGAGGATTTCAATCGTGCGTAAGTGTTTCTCAGCATCCTCCGAGTCGATCAGCTTGTTCAGTTTGTGCAAAATAATCGGCATTCTGGCTAGCATGGGATTAAACTAAAAGTGGATAGAATTAGTGAATGCTCCTCATGTTTTTCCTGCAATATTTCTACCTTTGGTGGCGACGGTTCGTCGGTGTCCATGGCATTGTCGTCACCTTCCTCCAGTCCCTCGGATGTTGTAAATGCATATTTACGGAGCTGGAAATGCTCGCAGAGACGCACCAGAGCCTCGCATATGAGCTCCGCATTGGCTTGGGGATAGACGACATTGTCACCCAGGGTATTGCTGACTATCTCAATGAATGTCGCTCCAAATTCGGCATTCGCCTGGCTAATCCTTATGCCATATGCCAGCACACGTCGCAAGTGCCGTAGACAGTCGGCTCTCCTGGCCGTGCACAGGAGCAGGCCTTCGATGTGAAGACTTACAGTATGCAGGATATCGTCCACTTGGCTCTCCTGCTCAGTGCCGAACGCCGCCAGAACTGAGAGGACTGCCATAGCCTGAGTGGCCGTTGTATAGTCGTCCAGCTTGCTCATGCTCTGGATGCAGAGTCGGAGCAGGGCGACCCGATGCTCCCGCAGTAGCTGTTGGCACGTGAGCGGACACTCGCTCAACTTGACGAGAATCGAAAGGAAAAGAAACTGCTCATGCGAATTGACGCAGGTCTCGAACTTACTAATCAGAGCCTCAAGGGCAGGCTTGGGCCAAGCGTGGACACTCTTCTTGCCGGCTAGTTCGTTGAAGGAGCGCAGCACCTGGATGCGAACTGGCGTCCGCAAATCTTGCATAAAGTCCAGCAGCACCTCGAGCTGCCCGGGAACGCCCACCAAGGTGCGGGAGGATAATTGTGTGAGGGTATCGATGATGGCCACCACAAAACTCTGCGCGGGATACTTGGGCAGCAGATCCATACAGAGTTTGTTGACCAGTGCGGCGGTATTGGCATCGTGATGCATGTGCCGCAGCACTGGGATGAGCAACAGCTTCATGGGCACTGGCACCTGCAGTGACTCGATCATGTCCGATATCTTGGCGCACATGCTGATGGCGAAGGAGCTGGACTGGGCGGCAAAGCAGCTGCTGGCATAGATGGCAGCCTCCACCTCCACGGTGTCGTGGCTGTCAAGGGCACGGCGTATAGCATGGTGCACTTGTTGCTTCTCGGGGATCACGCGGGAGACGGCGCCCAGGGTGCGCAAGAGCAGAGCGCGTGCCACAGGATCGTTCGAGTGCATCACCATAAAGATGCGGCGCACAAAGTTGTCGATGTTGAGGATCTTGTCCAGGTGGTTTTCGCTCTGCTGGCAGACACGGAGTACCCAGAATCGCAATAGATTCGAGCCACTCACAAAGAACTCCGCCAGCTTGATGAACGACGAGTTGATCAGAATGGGAAATGGATACTTCTCGAAGAGACGAGGGAACCGCACAATGGACTCGCATTGGATTCCCTGCTTAGCGCTCCGGAGGCCCTTGTCGAGCTCCATGAGCACGGCATTGGGATCCTGCTCGTTCTCGTTGAGGAAACATTCGTTGAAAGAGCTGACGCGGGTGCTACTAAAGTGCGACATCTGTGCAACTATTTGCAGTCACTTATAACCTATTTAATATTAATTATAAGTAATATTTAACTTTTTCAAACATAAACAAACCGGCAGAGAATCAGTGTGATCGCGGATTTATCGTTAAAAGATACCGTCCGACCCTCAGAAATATACCGAAACATACCGTCTCATTTAAAAAATATATCGTAAATATACTAGCGAACTCAAGTTCTATCGTACATATTCCATGCCTGAACACATAAATTTTCATGATATGTACACACTGATATTTCAAAGCACGTGGAAAAACAACTGTAGGAGCATCTTGCGTGGATACTTTTAATTTAAAGTTAAAGAAGGCATATTTACGGCCTAAATATGGTAAATATGCAACTCTAAATCATTCATAATCAATAGTCTAATGAAAGATGTGCAAAAGTGATGAAACCAGACAAATAGAACTAACCTAAAGACAAGCATGGAGTGGAGCACCCCCAAAACACATGTGCTGCCACCGCCAGCACATCAAAATTGATTATATGTCCCATTTTCCCCCTTCCAGTCGATCCTCTATGTTCTGTACGAACATGCAGCAGGCTTCTCGGTCTTCTCCGTCAAGGAGTTTGAGGAGGTCTCCATGTTCCTGCCCCAGGTGGAGTCCTCCGTCACGGACTTCGCCAAGTTCAATTCGATTGTGAAGTTGGCTGGCTTTGCTCCCTTCAAAACGGCCATTGCCGCGTTGGAGAATATCAATGCCATTTCCGAGGGCATTGTGCCCCAGGACTTGCTGCATTTCCTCGATGACTTCTTCGCCAAGCTGAAGAAGAAGAAGTGCACGCTCGGCATAGCCGATGCGAAGCTGGGAGCTGCCATCACCGAAGCAATCGGTGTGCAGTGCAGCCAAGTTGGTGTCGTGCCTGAGATCCTGCGTGGTGTGCGCTTCCACTTTGCCAAGCTGGTCAAAGGTATAAATTCAAAATCTAATAAAAGCTATCCTTGTGCCTAACTCTTCCTCAACCTCCCGCAGGATTCACCGAACAGTCTGCTGGTGTTGCACAGCTGGGTCTGGGCCACAGCTACTCGCGTGCCAAGGTCAAGTTCAACGTCCATCGTTCCGACAACATGATCATTCAGTCGATTGCCTTGCTGGATCAGTTGGACAAGGATGTGAACACGTTCTCTATGCGGATACGCGAGTGGTACTCCTACCACTTCCCAGAACTGGTCAAAATTGTTCCCGACAACTACATGTTCGCCAAGGCCGCCAAATTCATTAAGGATCGTAAGAACTTGACCCAAGACCTGCTTGAGGACCTTGAGAA